GTTTGTACGTTTGTACGTTTGTATGTTTGTATGTTTGTATGTTTGTATGTTTGTATGTATGTATGCATGCATGCATGCATGCATGCATGCATATATGTATGGCCACACTACGTAGATATGTAGTTAGACATGTTCACACAGACATATATATATATATATACATGTATATATTTCTATATATATATACACATACACATACGCATACGTATGCACACAACTACCTAAGGTCACCTACATATCTACATACGTGCAAATACAACGAAGCATGCATACATGCATAAACACAAACATGCATACATGCCGGGCCTACGTAGATACATGCATACGCGCATGCAAAAGCACATGCATACATAAATACGTGTGTGCGTACACACACTCATTTTTCATGCATGTATCTGTGTAGGCCACATACTTCTCCGTTCAGGAGCCGAGCAAGGCGCCTCTCTTCACCTTCTATGTCTACCGCGCGGCACGAGAGGCTGCGACCCAGTCGAGCTGAGTGTTGGACTCTTCACGGAAGTGAGAGTGGGTAGGATGATGACTATGTCGAGAACATCAATGTCGGAGATCTTGCTGGCACCTTGTGGTATCTGCACAACGAGGCCAGGCATCTCGGGACTCGTGATTGCTCCAGAGCTTGGACTCCTTTGTTTCGACACACTTGCAAAACAAGATTCTGATCATCCCCGAATGGCAGATCACATTTTGCACGTTGTGTGGCGAGGTCGTGTGGGTGAAACCCCGGAAGTTCGGAATCTCTCGCATCATCCGGTACAAGCCTCCCGGTAGCAGCCTGGTAAACTGCAGATCGACCATGTTTGATTCAGCAATGTAGCACGCACAGTGCCCGTGCTCGGAGCGCAAAAAGTCCTAAGTGTCCCAGTAGTGAGCCTTGTCCGGGTGCAATGTCGATGGCCTTTGTCGGAGCGAAACTATTTTCACGGCTTCCAGGAGATTCCCCGGCTGAAGCTGAGGATTTCGACTCGTGCAACACAGCCTCTATACGATTTGGGAATGAACTTCGGCGTCCGCTATTCGTACGATGCAGCCCAGTGCACTGGACCTTCCTTTTTTGGAGTTAGCAAGTCTTGTAGGGCCGTCACGGTTTCGAGAGTGGCCGAATCATGGGTGCACCGCAGCATCGCAGGACCATGGTCGTGCGATTTGAACTACGAGAAGTTTGGGCTGCTTGGTCAAATGTCCATACATACATTTGCATATATATATATATTTTTTTTTTTGCTACGCCCCCTAAACACCACCCTTCAGTTGCTTTGGCGCCACATGACCTATCTCAAAGCCCTGCAGATGATGGTTGTTGATGAAGGCTTACGGGTTTGAGGTAAGGGGTTGGGGTCAGGATGCTAAGCATGGAACAGTAGGCCACCCCCTCTGCATTCTGGCTGTGAAATACTTCTGGAGTGCGCCCGTCTAGCCTGGAAATGCACCAAAGTTACATCATAGCATAGAAGTCTTCATACTTGATAATAAACAGTTCTCGTATAGTCTTTATAGGTTTATAAACATTTTGTACGAAAATCCGGAAAAACGACAGAAACATAGACAGTAAGCCTGCTGTAATTGAGGCACAAACTCTTTTCAGCGTCCCCGTAAATTTGAAGCTTACCGAGCTTCCCAACATCCTTCTATAATTTGGTGGCAATATATTCCCTCCCTATAGCTCTTAAACAGCATATTTTACCTTGAATCCAATGCCGTGCAGGAGCCATATTCGAATTACCACGGCCCTAAATTCATTTCCTCATTTTATAAAAGTTCGTTTAGATGCCGACTCTTGCTAAGTTACATATATATACATATATACAGTGATAATATAAGGATCTGAATAATAGCAACCATAGAAATTATACTAGACTTATAGCAACAAGATCTGGGTAGAAGATAACATAAGTCTATAGGGATACTGTCGCCATTTGTTTGTCCGACCCTTACATTAGATGCCACTTTCAGGCTTTGCATTTCATAGGTGCCCAGCGAGCGCCCCCTGGTAACCCTCTCCCTCAACGCTTGGCCAGTCATTGTTTGCAGGACCTGTTAAGTACCTGTTGTTAAAGTAGAAGTTCATAATTCCCTTATGGCCATTGACCAAAACACATTTTGGTCGCACTTTGGTCGACGCCAACACATAGCCTTTCATCTGAAATCTTAAATGACAGCTTTCGCACTCAGCTAGACTACAAGATTAGCCGTAAATCCGAAATCGACCATTGCTGCCCTGAAAAGCTAGTTTACACCGAAAACTCTCGCCAAACACTGTAGAGCCTCAGTCACAAAAGAAGCGTTGTTTCCCGAGGTCCTCTCTGACCCTAAACTGGGAGCTTAAGGAAGAGACCTCCTTGTACCGTAACTAGCTTCCCAATTAACGGCTTAGCAGTACTACGTAGCAGCATTACTTGCGAGTACGAATTCTGAATGTGATGATGAACTACACAAAGAAATAAAGATTGAAACCCATACGAGTCATTAGGCCCGTAATAGGTAACGTGGGCCATGAACCAAGGATCACGAATCTCATGAAGGACTGTATCGAGTAGATGGTACTGGTCCTGAAAGGGTCGTGTCTGGGTCCTGTCCCAGTGTGGTGATGGCTGTGCGAGGTGGGCTATATTGACTTGTTGGTACTGGTCCTGAAAGGATGGTGTCTGGGTGCCTGGCCCAACATAGGTGCCACCCGTCCCCGTGGACGTGCAAGGTGGGCTAACGTATAGAGCTTCCGGAACCAACAACCAGGATTCGGAAAGCTCTGGCGAATTGGTTCTCACGCTTGGGCCCGTGCTAACTGACACGGACCGTGTTAAGTAACACGGGACAGAGAACCTAGAACCATGAGGCAAGAGTCCCAGAAAAGTTTTCGGACGGCATCTTGGTTCCCGCACTTGGGCCTGGGCCCGTGTTAAACATAGACCCACGCGTGGGCACCAAGACTCGTCCTAAAAGTCTTTCGGGAATCTTGGTTCTTGGTTCTTGGTTCGGGGCCCCGTGTCAATCAACACGGTCCGTGTTCATTAGCAGGGTCCGGGCCCAAGTGCCGGAACCAAGATGCTGTTTGAAAACTTTTCTGGGAGTCTTGGTTCTTGATTCCAGGGGACCGTGTTAATCAACACGGTTCGGTTTAAATAAGACGGGCCCGATTGTGGAAACCAATCTTCAAACATTTTGTTTGTCTATGGCCAAAGCGTTCACATATGTGCATATTTATGTATATAGACATATATATCTATACATGCATATGGCATGCCACCCCTCTAGTATGATGCTGAGGACCAATGAGAACATCAGGAGAAGTTATTTGGCGGGGGTACCATGCATGTTTTATTTGTTCGTTATATTTATGGTACCACCAAAAAACGAAAATCCGCATTTTAAGTCTGCGTATGTGTCGCAGAAAAGTATGTCGGCATAGTCTTGGTCTGCGCACTTGTCTCGTATCTGTGTATGTGTACGCGCATATACGAATTTACTTGGCGACATACTTGTATCTATGCATGCTGCAGAAGATATGTGTACATCCGGAACCAGCGCGCAAGACGAAGAATCACCAAATTCGTTGAGACAGTCCCAAACAATCAAAATCTCAAACTGCGAACGCCAGTACATGAGCATATTCCTTGACGCACTATCAAGGGAATGCATATGGAATTTCATGATTTGGTGACTAATGAACCCTTGGTTCGTAGGTTTGCATTGCTCCTTATTTCTTCATGAATGAATGAAACGGTCGTGAAGATTCAAATATGAACTTGCATGTAGCTGCTGAATAATCATCTAACTCTATTGCAATAATGCACCGACGAGCTACTCCAGCAGTAGCTAAGTATTGGATGGTCGTGAATATGTTCTGCTTTGTTAACGGAGCAGACAGAAATATGAGGCAAAGCACGAGGACTATTCAACAAATGGTGCTCCGAAATTAACTTCATATCAACTAAACAGAAGCAGCAACTCTGACTTTTTGAATACAAGATAGCAGGTACTGGTAGCTCATACATACGTCGCATGAGTACTCGATGAGCCGTATTTCACAATGGGACCAAACTGTTTGCATATTGGCTTTACCAAAAGCAACAACACATGCATCGTAACTCCTATTCGACTATGAAGTAGAGGTATTCTACTGCAAACTCTTGCTGCATACGTGTGTTCTACGTCGCTCGGACTCTTTAGAGTTTTTACTTCAGGGCTGATGTTTTGGAGCCGCATTTTTTTTAGAGCATGTGAGTAGATGTTTAGAAAAGAACGCAAATAACGGTACTCTGATACATTATTCCTGTTTTCACACTTCTTGCCTGCATAGTAATGGCATAGTACGAACTCGTCATCGTGTTCGTGGGTGGGTGAGTGCTGTCGAAAAGAACGTTGACGGCAATACTCCGAGGCTTTGTTCCTGTTCCCATGTTGCGCAAGACCGGGGCATAACACGGTATTTCGTTGTGGCAATCATGTATGCGTGCTGTTGAGAAAAACACTGATTGCAATACTCCGAGGCTTTATCTCTCTGTTCCAGTAATGCAGAAGAGCAGGGCAGAATACAATACTTGGCTGTTACAAACACGAGAAGTGTGCGGGTTCTACAGGAGGGGGTAGCACATATACATATATATATATATATAGATATATGTATGTATGTGTGTGTATATATATATATAGATATATGGTCACACCCCCCCCAAGATCTACCCTGGCAGGCTTCATACCATCTCATGCTTACTTATACATACGTGTACACTAGTCATAAGTGCAGAAACCACCGTAGATATCGGTATATTTATGGATGGTCAGGCGCTCCGCGGCCCCCCCTCCCCCGCAATGGTCCATGGTCCAGGATGCCCCCCCCTCCCTTTGTGTTCCCCCTGTGGTGTGGTTGTGGGGTTTTGAGGTTTAGGGTTTAGCTTAAGCTTTTGAAGGTGGGTTTACGGTTGAAGGTTAAAAGTTATAAGGCTTCGAGTCGCAAGAGCTTAGGGAGGGTTTGAGGTGTAGGTTAGCTAGGGTGACGGATTATGTTCTGCTTCAAGCTTAGAGCCTGCATTTAGGGTTCAGGGTTGGGTGGAAGGTTTAAAGTATTAAGTACAGGTTAAGGTTAATAAAAGCAGGAACACGCCCTACGTTATAGTGTTCATGGCTTGCGTAGGGTTTGCGTAAGAGCCGCCCCAGCAGCACACCACCCACCCCGACCCCTCTCCGCACACGCCCTCGCCCCCCTCACCCATACCAGACCATGCCATTGGGGGGTGGGCTTGGGGCTGGGAACGCCCCACGCCTGACCAAAAACGCCTGTGTGGAGGCTGTTCCACGGAGAGCGGGGTCAGAGGGTGGGTGACTAAACTCCGAAGCTCGAAGACCCCAGCCGATCCACAGGGTGGATGGGGATGATCACGCGCACAACCATTGGAAGAAGGCCTGCATCAAACCACCCAACCATTCCACACACAAGCTCAAGGCCCAATTCGTTCTACGAAACCGGGGAGGGCGATGACCAAATGAGGGGATACCAATGGGGGGGCCGCCAGGGCGCAACCATATAAAAGCATATGTTTGTGCACATTTGCGTCTTTAACTTTAGCCTCAGATGTGCCGCTTCAGTGCGAACATGTGAGCGAACATAAGCATAGATCCTAAACAAAGATAGTATGATAGTTAAGTGCGTGCACATGACAATACTTATGAATGGACAGGAAATGAGCACCATGCTTAGAAACCTTAGGCCAGGACAACGTTATAGATAACAACGTTCGTACAAATCGCAAAGCGAGTGAGTAAATCAAAGGAGGTTAGTAAGTCGATCGATAAACGCGCAGTTTCTTTAGAATATAAGCAGTTGTACATACAAATCATGGGTTATGTACATAAGTATGCAAGTACTTCATTCAAGCTCTACATCTACAAGTGTGCCAAGTATAGAACGCTAAACGGATAACTATACGGATGTGTGAACACATGTAAGAACACAGGTATAGCTATTCATAAAATACGGCTACATGGTTTGCACATACGAGATAAAACAACTTATTCGCAATACCTCTGTTCTTGGTATCGAATGTTCATTTGAACCGTGCGGAGGTACTTTGTTGGATGCAACAACTTGGGCATGTTCCCTTTTCCGCTTTACGACACGCACTATCCCGATGCCGGGGAACCCAGTATCGCTCCTGTGTAGTGAGGATGCTTTTGGTGAATCGGTTGCGGGACTGGTGTGTGGTCGTAAGTTTCTCTGCAGTGAGGCAGTCTGGTATGCGCTCCCCGGGGACTGCTCCTCCAAGGATTATGAGGCAAGTGTCCAATCAAAGAGCGGTGAGTCCTGAGTGGCGAGCGCGGCGAGCGACTTCAGGACAAGGACCCGAAATGCATCGCAGAGCAACCTGGCGGCCGCTGCGAGGGTGAGCCAACAGGACAAGGCCAGGACATGCGTGGCCAGCTGGGATGGTTTTACAGCTTTAAAGGCTCTGCCGGTCGCCAGGCAATTGTACCTACAGCATCGAGATCATGGGCTCCGTCACGATTGACGAAATCGAGGGAATCTCGAACTACCATGAGTTCATCCACACAGGACCTGGCAACTGTGGTCTGTTGCTACGGTGTTGCTCACACGTGCATGTTCATCACAGCCATACGGTAAAGTTTTCACAGGAAAGCATGTGTGTGTAGGCTTCGAAGCCAGCCGGGTTTTTTTGATTTCCAGTCAAGTTCTGGGGATGTCGCCAATATCGCATGCGAGCATGATGCGTCCGCCTTTTGCCACTTGCTCCATGAGGGTACCTCTCAAGGAGACCAGGTCGAGTACAACAAGACCTTGGACAAGGGTGTGGGCATGACTTTCTGGACATGGCCTCAGCGGAGGTTTGTCAGGCTCAGGAGTGAATTCGGTAGTCGCTTGGCCAAACCTGCACTTAGGGACCACATCAACGACACGGCCAAGAATGCGGAGCGTGTGGAGAAGGTCCGGAAGATCTTCGAAACGAAGTTTCCGGACCAGGCCACCGATGAGGAGATGAAGCCTCCAGCGTGCGACTTTGACTTCGAGGTCTTTTATAACACAACCACAACCACAACCACAACCACAACCACCATCAGCACCACCACAATCAGCACCACCACCACAACCGCCGCAGCGACTACAACAGCCGCTACAGCAAGCTCCACCACGGCTGCGTCAACCACGGAAGCCTCGACCACGGTTGCTGCCGCGACAACTGCCAGCAGCACCGTGAGCGAGACAACGTCAGCCACGGAGGTTGCCACGGCTGCCCCCAGCACCGCCACGACCACCGCAGCTGAAAGCACAACGGCGACTGCAAACGCCTCCGAGTCAGAGTCCTCTGTTGAGGCCACAACCAGCTCCGGGCCAGAGCTCAGTAATGTTTCCACCACCTTGACGTCAACTCCAAAGGGTTGCAAGGTCACTCGTCCTCTGGTTGGTCTGCTGATGTTTAGCTCCGCCGACAAATCTCTGGTGTGCTCTTAGGATGCTGTCATGGGCTCCCACTGCTACTCGTCCGTGATCTGGGCCATGGAGCATGGTCTCAAGCTGCATCCGACGTGGCCAGCGACTCACAAAGCAGCGTGCTTGTCCCCACGTGCGAGCCAGCGAATCCGAGTCCAAGCAAGGTATCCAGGCCTTACGTCCAAGTCGACATTCGCTGAATTCCAGGAGGGTGCTCCTGTCCGCGGGGCATCGCTGGGTTTCTGTAGCCATGGGCTCTCACTCGTGTGGGCAGGAACGAGTGCACCACGTCACGCCGGACGTGTGCCCGGTGCCCTGCACGGCGAAAGCAGGCTGCCATGATCCGGTGGAGGGTGAGTCCTGCTACTCTGCCGTGAAGTGGGTGGGCCCCCCAGTCCCGGTGTGCGATTCTACCATCGTCCGTCCGCGGAGGGTCTGAGCCCCGATTTCATCAGGCCATGAAATCGGGCATCAAGAAGCATCCCCACTGGAATCTCTGCAGCAAAAGGAGGATCCCTGTTTAAAGCCTTCCCACACCTGCAAGCAGCCTGCAGCTTGCGCTTCTGCCGCTCCACGCAAGGTACCCTGGGCTCACCAAGGAGTCCTCTTTTAAGGACTTCCAGGCAAGCTAAAACTCTCTAAGCTCCTACATCAAGTGTTTTGGCGCATGATTTTGGACATTCCTGACAGGCAGCAGTTCACAAGAAGCTTCCAAAGAAGTGCATGATGCCTTGCTCACCCTGAGCTCCAGGTTTACTTGTGCACTTTTTTCTTCAGTGCGGCATTTTAACATGATGCGTGCATAGTCTCGTTGCTGCACATACGGAGAGATGTTCCAGAGACAGCTTCTTAAAGGACTTGATCTCCTGGAGCATAGCTGGGAGGCTTGGCGAGAAAAGGCAAGCAGTCGCCAGCATCGCCATTCTGTGAGGGAAGATTTTAGACGCAAGCGTTCTTTAAGAACAGATGGAATTGTTCTCGAACCAATCGGAGGGCCAGCTAGCAGCTGGCCTTCTGCTTGCTCTCCCCTGCTTTAATCGCTAGATTTCAGGTTTCAAACACCACAGAACCGGAGGAAGGGGAATCTATAAACCCTCTTCAAGAACATGGCAGAGGCCAAAGCTACTCTAAACCGACCATCCTTGCGGCACCGAAGAGATGAGGCCCTTAAGCCCTAAACCCTAATCCCCAAACTACCCTAAAGGATGAGGCTTTCTTGAGCTCATGGCTTTCAGCCTGGAGCTGACTCCTTTGGCCCTCGACGTTCTCCGGGCCCGAAAGACCTTCAGCATGATACAAGATATAGTATATAGTCAAGGACAAGAAAGGACTTGTAACATAAAATACATAAATATAAATAAACATAACATACACACACATATATATATATGTGTTAGTTCTATCTATATCTACATACATACATACATACATACATACATACATACATACATACATATACAAAAAATATATATTCATATATATGTATATATATATATACATATGTATATATATATATATATTTACGCATACACAGATATATAGATATAGATATATATATATATATGTATGTATATATCTTCAGAACTGTCTGAAGTGGGCCTTTTGTTGGCCATGGCCGAGTCAGACTGGCCCGGCAATTACCTTCCCAGTGCATGTCCAGGCTGCGTCATCGTCGGGAGCCGAGAGCAAATTTAGGAGCTAGGGCTACGGGATGTTGAGGGTTCAGGCTTTAAGGGAAGTCTGTTTCCAGAGCCCTTCGCTCATCCACGAGCTTGTCGCGAAAAATGTTCGCCCCGTTGCATGCTTCGGCTTGGGCTGAAGGGCTGTAAAGCACGTCGTGTCCATCGAGGAAGCGGCTTCACCGTCACTGGAGTTCTGCTGTTTCCACGAATATCACGGCTTGTAGGAGGCAAAGACTAAGTGGAGCACAGATCTCGTTTTGTCGATTCACGCTATCCGTGCACAGCCTGTCCGTAGCATGACAGTCATCACCACAACGACCACTATCATAATGATCAACACATTCACACATGTCGAGGATCAATGCACAATCATCAGCATCTCATCCCTTCCCCCTTTAAGTAAACCACCCACTAATTGTAAACACACACTTTTCGAAAGCCGCCGTGAAATCCCAAATTGGATTAGGAGGGCTTCTGGAGCAAAAGCAAGAGCAAGCACAGGAGCATAAGCGGGAGCAAGAGCAGGAGCAAGAGTAGGAGCAAGAGCCAGAGGAGCAACAGCAAGATCCCCCAAAAGTGACAGTCGAGATGACAAGAAGCCTAACAATGAAATACTCTTAGAGTATCTAATTGGGGGCCCGTTTGATATTAGGGGGAAGGTTACTTATCTATGGGGGCAAAAACTGTTGGCACATAAAGGGCCAGTTTCTCGCGGATGTCGGGGAGAATGTAAGCACTGTAAGTGGGTCGAGACGGTTCTCGAAAAGGCGTCCAGCCCCAACAAGAGACAGCGTACGGTGGCAGGTCTCAGGTTCCCCTAGGCCGAAAGCAAAGCAAGAGAGTGGCACACGCGGTGCAGATACCTCGAGAAGAGCTGTGTTGTGTCGAGGTCCACCGATCGCACCCAGCCATCGTTGGCATCTTCCCTGTGCAGGTGCCAGCTTTTGGGGGGCAGGTGTCTATAGCGAAGCTGGCAACCGTAGCCTCAAGGCCCAAGGCCATACTCGTATGGGGTTTGTCAGACTCAGCCCCAGGATGCAACCAGCCAAAGAGCCATGATGTCACCTACGATGCAACAATTTCGGTGATAGGAGATGGGCGAAAGGCCATGAGACGCCGAGCCGTGAAACTGTGTGCAGCACAGCATTCAGCGAAATTAGCCCGTTTTTCTCGCCTGCTCCGGATGCAAGCAAAGAGCCTGCCTTGAGAAGGGCACGACGTGGCCGCAGCTTTCTCAGACATATCAGAATCCCGAACAGCACTGGCTGGACAGGAGCGCGCCAAAACCGAGTTCAGCTCCACTTCATGTAGTCCCGCCAGAAACTGTCTGTGTCCACTGCCAAGTAGGCACAGAAACGCTCGAACTACGATTTCTAGAAGGATGAGGCAATACAGGAGACTGTAACAGACGTGCTAGCAGCGCAGTCTACAAACACCGGCTGTTGCGGTGAAGTTTAGTCCGAACGACAAGTCTGCTGTTCAGCTGATTGTGAAAGCATATCGCGAGTATGGGAGAGTGAACGAAGATCTTGACGCACCGGGCAATATGGAAAAAACGAGGAAGTCTCGACCGACGTTGGGTGCATGGCCATAGTCGGGAAAGAAAGTGACAAGCGAAGCCGTGTTGGATCCGCGCCAATCCAGGGAAAGTCTGAAAAGCGGAGTGGAGAGGTTTGTAGACTGTCGTCCTGGTCTCAGGCGACATCTCAGGGATTTGACAGTAGTTGAAACTTTCAATTCGTGCAATCGTGTCCCAAAGCCATGTGTGAGCTTGCTGCGAGGAGTCTGGCAGCGCTGACGACACTTTTCAGTGGGACCCGAAAAGCAAGGCGACACCTGCACCCGCGCTGCGCTTGCGTTACCAACTCCGCAAGAAAGACCGCATTGAGCAGGTCTTCACCGTGGTCAATGCACGACGGTATCCGTGCTTCACGTGACTCTGTTCGCACTAGGCTTGGCATTTTCATAGAAGCAGGAAGTTGCGGATCGGAAAGGCACAGCTTACAATCCAAGACTTGGTGCACGACCGGAGACCTGACATGGCGTATGTTTGACATGGGTTGCCAGGTGAAGCACAACACAAGGAGAGATCGGAGCTGATGTACTCCAATCTCACGACACATGCAATGCAACATAAGCTAATCCGCAGCATTCAACTTGACACAAGCTATACAAAGTCAAAGGGGATGAACAGCTACAGCGCGTGACGCCGCACGTTCGTCGTCTGAGTAGCGTTGTGCAATCAGGCTTGCAGCATTGTGCCCTGATATGTTCCTGCAGCATAGTGTTCATGCAATTGCTGCCAGAATGCGGCCATAGACTTATGTCTTCCATCTTTCTCAACTCCAAGTCCATTTTTGTAAACAGGATATGCTTGCAGGCATGCAAGTGTACAGGAACTGTATGTGCAGTAAGCTTAGCAGCGAGTAATGTACTTGTGATGCAACTTTTCGGCAATGTTTCCTAGCTGCAATGTGAAAATGTCTTGTGCATGAGCTGTACTGTGCATGTACTGGTTATGTGCAACACGCGTCGTGAGCGAAATGTCAAATTCTTGGCTAAGCTTATGATTTTTTGATTTGATTTGCCGTGTTCTACATGGCACTGACTGAAGACCAAAGATTAGCTCACTGAGGGGAGCAATCCTGGCAATGGTTGTAGAATATCGAGTTGTCAGGTGCGTTTGATCAATCGCTCAATGCCCTCCAGTGTGACGGATGATGATGTGATATCATTTGGTTGTCGCTTGTTCGTGCGATGTAGTGTGATGCGACTGCTTGTGACGTAGTGTGATCTTACCCCGCTTGTGTTTCTACCAGGATCACCAATTTGTTGTCTCTTCAGGTACTTGACATTCCTGGGCACCCACGTCCACGATAGACATGGCCGGCCCTTTGAACCAGGCCCGTTGTCTTTTGGGTTCAAGCATCGAAACAAGGGATCCCGAGTCAGACCCTAAGTTACTAAGTAATAAAACTCGTGTCAACGGGGCCCCAAGATGGACTCCCTAAATTACTAGGACCCTTCTTAGAAGGGCCAGCAAAAAATGGCCTGCGCTTTCCCGGTGTTTATTGCTTCAGGGTTTGGCTTAAGAGTTACTTTGCAGTCCCCCCTTTCCTGGCCAGGCTTCGCAAGGTCGGACGCAGGGGCGGAACAAATGGCCCTGACTGGGCCTCAGGACAGTGGATTGCTCTGAGGCTCGCGATAGTTGGTTCGTGGAGTCTGGAATTACATATACACAGCACCACCAAGTGACGAGTATGCGTTGCATCTCTGAGAGACGTCCTTGTTCCTTCTGAAAGGACATTCGTTGTGGTGGCAGATCCCATGACCGCTATCCGCCTTGGAAAGGTCGAGGCCCACTATGGGAGCCTGATTTTTGAGTTCCGGCTCTACGGGGAAGGCAGGTAAGGTTAGGGAAAGAGGAGTCGAAAAACAAGAACACAAACCCTAAACTGCAAAAATTGGGTTTATTGCCTGGGGCTTCCAGGCGGCGACATCGGGTTTCTTTGCCATCGAGCTTGAGCAGCTGCAGGCAGCCCCTACACCTACATGCAGGAGACGACTACTACTACTACTACTCCTCCTGCTGCTACTGCTACTGCTACTGCTACTGCTACTGCTACTGCTACTGCTGCTACTACTGCGATGACGTCAACAGTCGTTGATATCCGAGGCATAATGCTAATGGAAACAGTGGCGATATTGGTAGTGGTAGTGATGGTCACAGCGACGATGGTTCCCCCGACAATGGTGATGCTGCTGATGCAAACGTTTCTGTTGAGGATAATTGCTAGTATGGCACGTATGACAACGATGATGTGATATGTGATGATCGTGGTATCACCCTGGTAGTGACACTTTCATAGCAGTAGCAACTGCACCACCTCGCTTTGACGCTCGGGGGAGATTGTTGCTGTTGTTGTTGTTGATGATGATGACGATGTTGATTCCATGCCTGCCATGCTCAAGGTAATGCACGCGTACATAAGCAACATTACTACCAGTAGCAGCAAACCCGTCGTAAATGTTGGGGTGTGCGCAAGAATGTACCCCCACCCCCACACGCTATTGCGATCAAGAGCCGAAGCAGGGCACTCATGAGTCAGCTCCGCTTCCCCACTCAGCCACCCAGAATTTTTGAATCCCGGACATGCTGACGTGGGGAAGGACTCACACAAGCAACCTGTTGTTAGGATGCTAATGGTACAGGGGTCAACAGTGGCACTCATGACTACTAAGCATATTGCTGACAATCACTATGCCAATGGAACTGAGGATGGTAAGGCCATTCCTTTTTCGCATGGACGCGAAGCCACAGCCTCTGTAACCACGTCTATGATCTCGTAGGTTACCAAGGTGCAGACGGTGCTCATCTCTTGCATGTCCCATGGCCCAAGCGCAAAGTGCTGCCAGGCACCCTCAGTGCCTGCCACCCTCCATGCACCGGAGGATGCACAATTTGTCGCCTTGGCATCCAAGCTCAGTCATGGGCACCTTGTGGAGGATCCCGAGGGCTATGCCTTCCCGCTCCCCGATGCTTCTGGACCATACCTTTGTACCCAAGGCGTTGGAGGACACCGAGCTTGAATTTGAGTCACTGCTTTCGAGCCTCAGAGCCCGTAGCTCTGGCCCCAAGCACGAATCGAATCAAGGACACCTGACGCATTTCTTCCCGGAGCCTATGGCTGCAAGTTGCTTCCGTGCCGCCTTGGGGTTCCCTGAGCGACCGGGCCAGGGTTGGCACAAGCCCCTAAGGAGAGCTATCATGCTGTAGATCTTCGATGCGCAATGCACACGCCGGTGCTGAGCATTGGAGATGGCATTGTGAAGGAAATCGCACAGACACACAAGTGCCTTGCCCTTATGACATCCCTAAACCCTAAACCCTAAATCTGTGCACCCTTCGCTAGAGTAGATCCTGGCTTCTGCGCGATTCGGGCAGCTGCGCGAGTTCGGGCAGAAACTACCTTAGATTTGCTGTGCTGCATGATTCTTAACACTTGTAGTAGTTTGCAATCCGCTTAGGCTTAAACGACCATAGAGCCATAGAGTCCTTTACAGCTGCCGATAGAGAGCCTCTAGAGTCCAACGGAGCCTCTAGAGTCCAAGTAGCTGTGTTGCCCGCTAGGTGTGGCGGAATCCATGCTGCCAACCTCGCAAAGTGGAACTCGGTTTCTGTGTCTAGTCGCAACAAGGAGCAAATGGAGAATTGCTGCCATTGTGCATCTGGCAGTGCCTGTTTGCAAGTGACCGGACCGAGTTGTTGGCTTCAGCGGTTCTCTTGGACATGTCTGAGCCGGAACATCGTCGCTTACGTGTGGTTTGTGCAACTCGCGCAACCAGAGGTCGTGTTGGAATCTGGCATCATCGTGGATTACCTCCACATCCTTGCGGACACAGCGCGTGTTCAGGCTTCTTGAGTGGTTAGACCGGGACCTGATCGGGAGTCGCTGCATCGTGGTGACATGCAGTTCGAGCGCAGACAGTCAGGGCTGGCGTGTCTATTTTTCGTTGCCTGTGTTTCCGTGCTCTCAAGTAGCTGAAGCATTGCAAACACAAGCACACGCGGGTTGTGAGGTCGGCGACCACGTTAGGCGTGGACAAGTTCTCTGCGAATCTGGCGATATTGGCTTCGCGCCAGAACCGCAGCATGACTTCAACGACACATGGAGTCACATGCTGCGTCCAGTGGAGTTCCGGGTCTGTAAAGAGGTGTTGAAGCAATGTGGCTCGCCTAGCAATAGTAATCACCACTATAGGATCTGTGATCATACGAAAAGTAGGAACTCGTCTCTCTGCAGGCACCTCCACGTAGAGTTGCACAGTGCAGCGGATCCGGACGGGCCTTCCCTGCCTCTTCACTTTGGCCGAGAACGTTTCTCAGCCGCACCCAGCAGCCATTACAAGTTATAGAGTCTGCGTTGAAGAAGGGAGAGAGACAGACAGAGAAAGAGCGCGCGTCCTTCCAATGCCCCAGAAAGTCGAGGGTGCTGGTGGCCGGGGTTCCTGACCCATCCCTCCAGCCCTGACCGAGAGCGCAGGGGATTCCCACGCCCGGGCCCTAGGTCTGGGAGCAAGCAAGAAAGAGAGAGGGAGAGAGCATGAGAGCTCTCCCGCTCGGTCTCTCTGTCTCTCTCTCTCTGTGATTCCTCCGGTTATCTATCCAGTTTGTGTCGTTTGGAGGTTAACCCCGACACATGTGAAAGATTACAGTGTAATGTGTGTGTGTTTTTTGTTCTGTCTGGGGGGCGGGGGAGCGGCTTACCATGTGTTACTACCTCGCCCCCTCACACCCACTGCAGACGCACTCGCTTGGTCATTCGCGACCCTTGTGGCCTACAGTCACTGGCAATCATATAATAATATGCTCTCCTGCATATCTTTCGAAAAACTGCAAATCCACCCGTGAGCACTGGTGGACTCCCGCGCCCATCGTTCCACAATCCGTAGAAGGCCTCTGATCCAGTCCATACCGCAGCATGATCCGCTACAGGTGAGCTGATTCGCAGGTTCAGCCTTAAAGAACGACAACCAACCCAAGGTATATTTCTTCAAAGCAGCACCATCAGCATAGCTTAAACAATCCACGATCGTTTATCATGTCACATGCCGCCCAAACCCAACAACCCATGTGAAATCGCTTGAAACTAGCTTCCTGGAGCTTGATCCTGGCCCAGTTGCATTTTCAGGGTGCATTGAGCAAACCTAGTGACCTAGTGTCCCATTCCTTCCCACCATGTTCCGAACTGGCTTCCCGGAGGTAAGCAAGCCGGAGGCCAAGCCAAGCCCACTGCTTTATTCAAAGCGTTTGACGGAGGTAGAGCTTGGCTTGAGCTTGTGTGCTGCTTTATCCCCTCCCATGCCCTCCCATCCCCCCGCCCTAAAGTAGTTTCCCGCAGCCGGAACCACGTCTGCATTTTCTTGCCTTGAAAAAGTGTGTTTGGCACCTTTCCGACAAAATGCTAGAAAGGGCCTTCTACAATCTCCGTGATTGCTTGCACGCGCCTGAGAAGAATCATGTCGTAGCAGTCTCCATCAATTTGCCAACAACTAGCAACTAGCTAGTGCTAGGACCTGCAAGGGCGATTCAGGAAGCAAGCTGCTTTTGGATATACTACAATGAGCAAACTAGTCGCTAGTTTCGACCGAAGCTGTATCACACTTTTGGCCCAAACAAATCTCAACGCGTCAGGCCCATGCAATCTTTATCGTCTCTTGTGTTTCCTGGTATTGTGATCTCAAAAGTTATTCCCTCTGGTAGTTCCGGGTCCAAAGTCCAAAGCCTCAACTAATTACTCTTGCTAGATGGCCAAAAGAGCAGGCTCTGTGCCCGTGGCCGGCCGCTGGTATACCTCAGTGGGGGAGGCGGGCAGGGCAGCCGCCCAGTAGACTAGATATGTCAGACGTCATGCAAGCACTATGAAACTAACCACTTATTGTGTCGGCATGTATGCCCATGTGTGCCTATATGTCGCATCTTCGATTCTATGCCGTTATGCATACGCATCATCCACATCTGTGTGCGGTTGGACAGTGCATGTTTTAGACACTAGTAGAAAATAACACATACACGTATGCAAATACCTGTTGCCTGCAAGGACGATGACATGACATGCATTAAACAATCATAACTGTGCTTAGTCTGCTCCACAACTTGTACTGGTACTTGCGCGTGTACTTGTAGTACTTGTAGTACTCGTAGTACTTGTAGTAGTAGTGCTAGTAGTAGTGGCAGTAGTAGTAGTAGTAGTAGCAGCAGCAGCAGCAGCAGCAGCAGTAGTAGCAGCAGCAGCAGCAGCAGTAGTACTAGTACTAGAACTAGTACTAGTACTAGTACTCGT